GGGGGTTACATGCCTGTTGAAAGGGGGTTGCACCATTTCAGGAGTCAAACATCTTTCTCCTACCTTGAAAGCAGAGATCCAGGAATCACGAAGGGAGCGTTGCCTTCATCCTTCGCTGCCCCCTCCTCCTCAGCCATCATTCTCCACACTCTGGAAACACACAGTAATTCACTCTCTGAAGACGAGGTAGAAGCTGCACTGTTGACACCCCCCCCCACCCCCACCCCAAGGCAGACACTACCACAGCTCTCTGGCTGGAGAAGGAAGCCAAAAGGACATTTGCTGACAGGGCCTCTGAAATACAATTTGTCTCTCTTCCTAAACAAAGCAGGAGGCCAAGAGAGTTCTAGAAATCATAAGAAAACCCTTAGATCATCGTCTTTTGGAGTTCTGAGAAGGCAGAGAAACTCTAGAGCTATGAACCACAATCTTCCCTATAACTGGGAGGTTCAGGAAGGAAAAAAAAAAAAAAACGCTTTCAAGGGTTCAAACTCACCTCTCACCTATCCACACTTCGTTTTGAACTACTGCTCCTGGGCTAGGGTTTATCAATCCTTTAAGCACTAACACAGATATTTAGTTCTTTAGGGGCTTAATCTGGAGTCTTTAAAAGGCTTGTATGGATTTTTGTTCGACATTTTAAGGGTTCCCCCACACACACTTATTTTTCTCTGTATACATTTTTGATAGTTCAAGCAGTGTTTTGACAGCCCAATGTTTTTCCATCATATTGTTTTATGCATCATGTGTATCTACAAAACTTTAAACATCTCTGTAATAAAGTTATCAGCCCATCATAAATAGGAATGTTTAAATAGGAGTGCCCTTGGAATGTTCTTAATGTCAGTGAGCATCAGGGGTCATGTTCTCTTGTCCCCTCTATTATCCCAAGAGGAACTCTGCTATTCAAAAGAAAAAAAAAAATCCTGAGAAACATGTTCCTTGAAAACGAGACACATACACTTTTGCTGACAGAAGGGAAATATTTTTCACCTGTCTCACGGGCTAGACGAAATTCAATCCCTCACACCATCTAGATCAGAAAGCGGAGGAGTCAATCCCCAGCTCCTCTTTTCATAGACACAGAAATGGAGCCCCAGAGACAGCCATTCCTTACAGAAATCCCTCTGGACACCAGGGACAGAATCTACACCATTTCCCAACATGGAGGTCACTCCAGTGGTTATTTGGAAAGATATTTGTTCTGGCTGCTTCATTCCAGCTGAGGACAGTGTTAGCGCTGTGTTGACCTCAGGAACTGGGGAGCGTAGACTCAAAACTGCTTCAGGAAGTGGATTCAGAAGCGGAGCAGGCAGCCCATCTCTGAGCTTCTCAGCCTCAGCCTGCTGCTCCCTCACACCCTGCAAATGCAGAGGCCCTGGTGGGCTCACACTGAGAAGACCCACAGATGCTTGCCCGTCTGTGCTTGAACCAGGGCCCTCAGGGCTTGGTGCTGGTGACTTCCTCTTGTTCCTGCTTCCTCTCTGGCTGGATGGCCTTCCTGCTTCTTCCCTTCCCAGGATGTTCTTGACACCCTTTTAGACCAAATGCCAATTTAAAAAAAAATCCACTGTACATGTGCGTGCGTGCGTGCGTGCGTGCGTGCGTGTGTGTGTGTGTGTGTGTGTGTGTGTGTGTGTGTGTGTGTGATATTACCCTTCATAATCCTGAACACCCACCTGGTGTTAACCTCAAGATTCCTGAATGCCCAAATAAGTGGCTTTCTCAAGAGAGCTGTTTCTCAAACTCTGATTTAAGCTAACAACCCATCCTTTCTCTATAGATGGAGTTTTTTGCTCAAGGTTCCCATGACTGACATGTTTTAGGTTGGAGCAAAAAAGGACCAGGTGGTAGGCTAAAGAAAATTAGCCCATTCCAAATTTAACCCTGAGGCAGATTTTTTTATTTGTCTGGCTCTTTGTGTGTGTGTGTGTGTGTGTGTGTGTGTGTGTGTGTGTGTGTGTGTGTGTGTTTTGTTTTCTGTGTTTTTGTTTTTAATCACAATTTCTGACATGGGAAGCCTAGCACGTTAAAAGGAAGAGGTTAGCGTTGGGAGTGTGCCTTGGTGGCAGAGTGTGCTTGCCTAGCATGCGTGAAATTCTGAGTTTGATTCCTGCCTCCCCCTAAAAACAAACACCAGACTAAATGGAAACTCCCCGGCTCCAAGGCTCCAATTACAGAAGTCCCCCCGGGCTGATGAAGATGGGGCAATCAGCTCTGAGTACCCCGGGGCCTGGCAGCAGGTCGGAGCCGGAGGCCATGCAGCAGGCTGGCCTCAGAGCAATGTTGGCTGCACCTGTTGAGGGAGCATCTTCCCCTTGAGGTGGGGAGCTCATCTGTCCCCTCTACCCCGCCTCCCTTGCCTGTCTCTGATGAAGAGTAACATAGCCTTCTGGTTGGCTCAGGTTGCTCAACCCGAGAAGAAAGGGCCCTGGAGAAGACTGAACCTTTAACGGAGGAAATGGAGGATCCGGAGCATCCAGAAGGAATGAGTGGTAACACCACCACCCACCCCACCAAAAACAAAACAAAAAAAGAGCGGAGCAGAGCCAAGGCAAAAGCTAGGAAGCTTGGGTAGTGCCAGAGCAAAACCATGGGACGGGTGAAATGAAGGCCAGGAAGCTGACTCCCTCTCTTGACTGGCGTTCAATATGATGTCCAGCTGCACACGCGGGGAATGAATGGTCCAACCCAGACATTAGTGCATATTTCCTGGAGAAAGCAGGTCCCCAGTCTGTAGTGTGTTTGTGCCCTTGTTAGGCAAATCCCAAGCGAATTGCACGAATGTGCTGACTTCCGAGGATTTAGCCAGAACAATGACTTGGGTCACTGGGACTTGAAGCGGATGTGAGCTATAAGGAAAGACAAAAATAAGTGCGGTGAGGGGAAGGAGTCTAGCAGAGCTTTCTGCACTCCACTCAAGGTTTACAGACCTGAGTCCATTCACTGCCACCATCAGAAGTCTCTGCTGGCTGTGGAAGTTACCTAATCCTTCCTGGGCTGACCGGCGGGGAACAGAAGACCTGCGTCCCTGGCTTTTGCTCATGTCTTCCCTCTTGAGCTAATTCTTCCAAGGGTTCCCATCTTTGAGTGTGTGTGTTTCTTAGGTTTAGAGAGGCACACAGGCTCTGGGTTAGCCTGATGTTGGTGTGTATCCCCAGGTGCCTCTTTGCGAAGCTGACGTTGGAGACCTGGGTCCTCACAGAGTTGGTTTGTAGGCAGGGATGCCTCTGGAAGACCCTCCCAGAGTGGTTTGACAAGGCTGAAATGACGGGCCGTGGAGCTGAGGATGCTGGTTCCGTCTCAGCTTTAGGCTGGACCAGGAGGCACAGACAGACGGACAATGCAATGGGATTTGGTCACAGAGCAAGGGAGTCGATGTTTAGAATTCATAGTCTGACAATAATCGGGGCTCTATAGAGTGAACTACAGAGAAGATGTGGTAGGGGTCGGGGGAGGAGAGAGGAGGTCAGCACTGCAGCGGACAGGAAGCATAGGGAAGGAGGAGCCATGAGGAGGAAGAGTGGACTGTCCTGGAGTGCTGAGGAGTGAGAGCAGGTGCCAGAAAGCCAGGAAGAGTTCTATAGACAGCCTGAGAGCACAGATGGACCTTGGGGTTAACACAGTATCGAGGCAGGAACTATTTCAGATAAGTATGGGCTCTGGGCTCACACCCCAACTCGGCCACTCATAAGCCATGTGGACTCAATAGAACAGGTGACATCTCTCAGTCTTGGGCTTTCTAACCTATTGAAATGAGCCTAGTAATATCTACCCATAGGACTACGAGTGTGGAATGAGGTAATTCTTGGAAAGCACTGGGAACAGTGCCTAATTCACAGTAAGTGTTAAATCAACGGCCAATGCGATCATTACCATTGCTGTTCTGGTCCTCTTTACAAAGCTGTAGCCAGGTGGGCAGGTGAAATTGCAGGCAGGACACAGGACTGAAGAAAGCACTATGTTCCTTGAGCATATCCATTAAAGTGTTGTGTTTCTACAATGTGCTTTTCCTTCCAAGACTCCTTCTTCGAACGTGAGCTCCCAGGGTTGGTGCCTGGAGTGTGTGTGAAGAACTTGGTAAAGGTTTTTGAGCCCTGTAGCCGGCCCGCTGTGGACCGCCTTAACATCACTTTCTATGAGAACCAGATCACTGCATTCCTGGGTCACAATGGAGCCGGGAAAACCACCACCTTGTGAGTTCTCTAGCAGAGAGGCATGGCCATGCCATGCCATGCCATGCCATGCCATGCCATGCCATGCCATGCCATCCCATCCCATCCCATCCCATCCCATCCCATCATTCCCTGGCTTCACTCTCCCCAGTAACTTCAGTCAGCTTTTCCCTACTGAATTTTGGTGGAAACAAAACGAAGAAACAATATTTTTGTGGCCCCAAGGATTTACAAAGCAAGCCGGGTGTGGTGACTCACACCTTTAATCTCTGCACCTGGGAGGGAGAGGCTGGTAAACTCTGTGAGTTCAAGGCTAGCCTGGTCTACATATTGAATTCCAGGATAAGCCAGAACTACATAGTATACATATCCTGTCTTGAATACAACCTCCTCCCAACCACTGCAAAACAAACAAACAAATAAATGATTTTTTAAAATCTCCTAAGAATGCTGCAGTATTCAAAGCCCACTCAAGTATATTTAATATTCATAAGAAGCAATAAGAGAATTCGGAGTAAGTGTATCACTCCCTTTCTGCCACGGAAATAGACATTCAGAGTTTAAGTGATTTTTCCTGAAGCCTCTGAGTTGCATGGCTCAGTCGGTGTATTACGTAGGTATTCTTGTCACAGAGAGTTGCCTCTTGTTTCTAACACCCTAAGTCCCCTCCTTAGCCCTCACATCTCCCGTGACACTGTCATCCACCGTGAGGATAAATCCCTGGCTGCCCATGTCCAGGGTCTGTAGAACACCACTGTTTTTAAGGAGCGCCCTTTTCCTGCCAATTATCGGGACCCGCTTCAGTGCTGGCATGGGACCTCTGTTGGAGGCTGGTTACATTTCTGAGACAGTGGAGAGAGAACGGGGGAGTCTCCTCGCTGCCTGGCGGAAAGCCAAGTGCAGGAAGATCTGGGGCTCTGGGTGGACTTCTCAGCCCTACAGTTCTCCAGGGGCCTGAGCGCCACCTGCTGAGAACAGACAGATGTCCGGTGGGTGAGTGGGTGGAGGAGGGGTGGGGGATCAGCAAGCCATGTGACAGCAGCCATCACATCCTTGGCTCCCAGAGCCCCGGGAAGGAACAGCGGTGTACACCCTGCTCTGGAATGTGCTCTTGGGCCTTTCAGTGTGAATGGAATGCGGGGCTGGTGCCATTGTGCTTGGTACTGTTTCCCTCTAGTGGTTGATCAACCAAGATTTCAGCTTCTAAATACAGGTTCAGAGAGCCTGCGATTTTATCAGAACTCAAGACAGAGCTGGGTGTGGCAGGCTAGGCCTATCTCCCAGCTAACTCACGTGGTCAGAGAACAGGAAGCTCCCTCCAAGACCCCAGGACCTCTTGAAGACAAACATATTACTTCACCCAGTGCAGAAATTCAACTTCCCCTGGCGTTGAAACATAATGCTGCTAACACCGGGAATCACACCACGTTTTTGAGTTTCACTTCATGCTGGTGCTGTTCTAAAGTACATATTGACTCACTTAACCCAGACAGCCACCTAAGCAGGTAGGGGCCAATATGTCTTACTTTACTAAGGAAAGGGGGAAAAAAATCACACACAGTTATGGACTTTTTATGTTTGGGATCCAAAATTGAAATTGTTAGTGGTAATTCCTGTGCCTGACTGCAGTTAATCAATCAGCTGACACACACTGAATGTGTAGGTGGGTTCAGCTTCTCATCATCATCAGGGACCTCCCTGGGCTTTGTAAAGGCAGCAACTGGTTTCTCCATAATCAAGGTTGCTTACCCAGGTAAAGCAGTGGGCTGTGCCCTCGACCCCTTTAACTGAGCACACAGTGACCATGACACAGGGGCTAACCACATCAATAGCCACCAAATGACCACTGTGGCTGACCTTCACAGTGGCCACTACAGCTGACCACATCAGTGAACACCACAGTGACCACTATGACAGACCTTCATAATGGACACTACAACTGACCACCACAACAGTGACCATTATGGCTGACCACATCAGTGAACGCCACAGTGACCACATGACTGATCACAGCAGTGACCAGTATGGCTGACCACATGACTGATCACAGCAGTGACCAGTGTGGCTGACCATCCCAGCAGGCACTGCCACTCACCACCACAGTGATGGGTGAGTGATGGGGTGTCTGAGGCTGGGAATCTCTGAGGCTCTTGCTACTGGTCTGGAAGCACTAGGAAATAAAAGACAGAGCGAGAAGGCCCTTGTGGTCCTCGGTACTAGGACCTGGATATAGGCACTGGGGCTAAGAAAGCCCTGTGTGGGGCATGTCTCGGCCCCTCAGCTGATGCAGGTTTGAGTGTGATAGAGAGATGGGACAGGAGTTACCACAAGTGTCCTTTCGAGCCTGGAATGGTGTTGCCCTCCTCTCCTGGTGAGTCCTAAAGACCTTCTCTTCGGCCACTTAACCCTGTGTTTGGCAGGTCCATCCTGACAGGCCTGTTGCCCCCAACATCGGGGACTGTGCTCATCGGAGGAAAAGACATTGAAACTAGCCTGGATGCAGTCCGCCAGAGCCTGGGCATGTGTCCCCAGCACAACATCCTGTTCCACCAGTAAGTGAGCTGAAGTCCCAGTCTTCCTGGGCAGGGGTGGGCTCTGTGGGAGCGTACATGCCTGGCATCCATCACCCCTGGGGTCCATCCTCAGCACTATGGGAGAACAAAATGCCAATTGGAAATGGCCTCTGCTGTGGGGGCCAGTTTCATGTCAACTTGACACAAGCTAGAGTCACTGGAGAGAAAGGAGCCTCAGTTGAGAAAATGCCTCAATAAGATGGGGCTCTAAGCAGGCCTGTAGGGCATTTTCTTAACTAGTGATTGATGGGAGAGAGCCCAGTCCATTTTGGGTGGTGCCATTCCTGGGCTGGTGGTTTTGGGTTCTATAAGAAAGCAGGCTGAGCAAGCCATGAGGAGCAAGCCAGTAAGCCACACCCCTCCATGGCCTCTGCATCAGCTCCTGCCTCCAGGTTCCTACGCTGCTTGAGTCCCTGCCCTGACTTCCTTTGAAGATCAACAGTGATGTGGAAGTGTGAGCTGAATAAACCCTTTCCTCCCTAAGTTGCTTTGGTCACGGTGTTTCATCACAGCATCAGTGACCCTAAGCCACCTGTACCCTGTCCTCACCCACCCCCAGTACGTCTTCCCTCCAGCCCAATGCTTTTGCCTGGTCCCCTGCAGAGCCCTTGTCCTGCTTGGGTAAGAATTGTCCCTCCAATAGTGCTCCTGGTGCTCACAGCTGCGGTGTCCCCAGCCAGAGGAGTGACAGCGGCTTCTTTCTGACCCCCCAACCCCTTGGCCCGAAATCCTTCCAGGCAGGGACCAGAGAGAGGAGAGCCTTCGTTCCTTCTCCATGCTGAGTGCTCAAGACTGCCTTTCAGGGGCCTTCACGCTGGTTTGCTGGAGTTTCCTTTCTTTTCTCCCTTTCTTCTTCCACCCCCCTCTTCCTTCTCCTTCCCCCCTGTCCCTCTCCTCCTCCTTATCTCTCTTACTCTACTCTCTTTCTTCCCAATCGAAACATATTTTATGTCCGGACTCCAGTCATTGTGGAGGGAAGGAGGGGGGCGAAGGAGAGAAGATTGCCACATACAAAGGAAAAAAACAAAACAAAGCAAAACTGTCACCAGACATTTTACTACCCAGAGACAATTGCTGTCAACACCTCTAGATATGATTCTTCAGAAATTACTCTGCATGTGCAGACATGCATGGACACTATAAAGGAGAGTAAGGTTACACGTACAATTTTATAACCTGACTTCTTGACAATGGGTTTTCTTTTTAATTATTTTCTTATGTGTCTGGGTGTTTGTTTTGCCTGAGTGTATATCTGTGTACTGTACGTGTGCCTAGTGCCAGAGAAGAGGGCATCAGATCCCCAGGAACTGGAATTACAGACAGTTGTGAGCCACCATGTAGATGCTGGGACTCAAACCCAGGTCCTGTAAGAGCAACCAGTGCTCTTTACCACTGAGTCATCTCGCCAACCCCGTAACTGAATATCTTTTCGCGTGATTACATATTTCTTTAAAAAGAAATTTCTAATGTTTATATACTGTTCCGATGTACAAATGAGCTTTTTAAGCAATTTTCTCATTAGATATTTGGGCAGGATTGGTTGGTTGTTTCACTTTTATATCATAAATACCATGATGAAAATTTTGATTGCTGTTGTCTTGTTAGGGTTTTTTATTACTGTGAAGAGACACCATGACCACAGCAACTCTTATAAATAAAAACATTTAATTGAGGTGGCAGCTTACAGTTTCAGAGGTTCAGTCCATTATCATCAGGATGGGGAACGTGGTGGCATGCAGGCAGACATGGTGCTGGAGCTGAGTCTTACGTCTTGATTCAGAGGCAACAGGAAGTCAACTGACTGTCACACTGAGCGAAGCTTGAGAAAAGAGACCTCAAAGCCCGCCCCCACGGTGACACACTTCCTCCAACAAGGCCACACCTCCTAATAGTGCCACTCCCTTTGGGGGCCATGTTCTTTTAAACCACCACAGCTATGTCCTCATATTCATCTTTATTTTCTTTCTTTTGAGATAGGGCTGGCCTCAAACCCAGAAATCAGCCTGCCTCTGCCTCCCGAGTGCTGGGACTAAAGGTGTGCGCCGCCGCCGCCGCCACCACCACCCCACTTCATCTTTATTTTCTAAGAGAAATTGCTAGAAATGGAATTGCTTAGCCCATGCTTTTCTCCTCCTGTTCCCCACAGTCTCACGGTGGCTGAGCACATCCTGTTCTACGCCCAGCTGAAAGGGAAGTCCTGGGAGGAGGCCCAGCTGGAGATGGAAGCCATGTTAGAAGACACTGGTCTCCACCACAAGAGAAACGAGGAAGCTCAGGACCTCTCAGGTGCCTGGTATTGGAAGGAGAGAGAGCCTCATAGGGAGCATCCATTGCCTCTCAGTGCACCCTAGCAGAGGGTGGGGTAGAGCAGTGGTTCTCAACCTGCGGGTCACAACCCCCACGAGGGTTGCTTATCAGATGTTTACATTACAAATCATAACAGTAGCAAAGTTACAGTTATGAAGTAGCAACGAAATAATTTTATAGTTGGGGCCACCACAACACGGGGAACTGTATTAAAGGGTCACAGCGTTAGGAAGGTTGAGAACCAATGGAGCAGGGCCTTCTAACGGGGGAAAGCTCCCAATACTTCTGTGAAGTTAAACCTACAGTCTTCGGATGACCGGGTGCTGGGACGCAAGGGTGGCCTTTCTGTGTTGATGAACCCCGAATGCCACTGTGGCTTTGGACAGTGTAGGCATATCTGAGGTGGCAGTGTCCAACTGTCAGATGTGAAGAACCTCCGTGTGCCACCAGCCCTGGGCTTCTGTCTTCCCCATGCCAAGGTGTCTGTGATGTGCCACCACTGTCCTCCTTCCGCCTCCAGGTGGCATGCAGAGGAAGCTGTCTGTGGCCATTGCTTTTGTGGGAGATTCCAAGGTGGTGGTCCTGGACGAACCCACCTCTGGGGTGGACCCCTACTCCAGGCGCTCCATCTGGGACCTGCTCCTGAAGTATCGCTCAGGTGAGGGCTGTTGCTCATGCTCCATTGAGGTGCTTCCAGGAATCCCATTTTCTCACACCTAGTATTTTTACCTACGTATACTAATGCCATAACTGCACTCACTTGAGACCATCAGTGAGTCCGAGTTCAAGTAAGAGCCTCCTGAGATTTTTTTATATAAATACAAGCAGGGAGTCCAGGATGAAGTGGCCTACTTGCCAAAATATTCTAGAAAGCTGAGTTGGAAGTGTAGCTCATTTGGTACAGTGTTTACAAAGCATGCACAAAGCCCCAAATTCAATCCCATCACCACATAAACCAGGCCTGGTAGCACATGCACATAATCCCAGCACTCAGGAGGTCTGAGGCAGGTAGATCAGAAATTCAAGATCAGTCTCAGCATGTTCAAGGCAAGCCTGGGTTACGTGAAGCCCTGTCTCAACAAAAGAAAACAAAATAAAAAGTCGTTTCTACCTTTAGTCCTCCAGTCTGGAAAAGTGGAATTGCCCTCTGGCGAAAGTACCCCAAGAAGCTGCCTAGCTGCTTTGTGACCACCTGAGACTAGGTGTTAAGAACAGGGGGCTAGATGTCTGGAACCGCAGAAGGTTGTGGCAGATGAAGATGTTTTAGATGGGCTCTTTACCCATCCATCCCAGCGCCTTCCAGAAGAGTCACATCCAGAAGCCACATCAGGCAGAGTTGAGACCCCACACAAGCAGCAGTGTGGTTCATCCTGCGCAGCCTGGAAAGCCTCCTCCTCTGTTCTTACTGTGCTCCTCATGCCCCTCACTGAAGACTAAAACTCTCATTTCCTTTTTAAATAACAGTTCCCATTTAATGAGAGAGAGCCGCATGTGTTCCTACAAAGTACCAATGGTGTTTAACGATGTGAAGACAACATATGGAAGTCCAGAGATGCTGCCAGTGAGGACGATGTTGACTGTGTCCCACACACGTCAAATTATTTGAATCATACCTGAGGCTCAGTGCAGAGACAGTCTATGTGACAGTGCTTTATAGTATGCATATGCTAGGATATAGTGGTTGCTATAGCACCACTTTGCTTGCTTCAGAATTTGCTACTTTGTTTTTATTCATTAACTCCAAGTTCTGGGACCACATAACCTGAAGATTGCTGTACATCCTCTCCAGGGCTTGTCTGGTAACAACCCCGACCTCTTCCTCACAGGCAGAACCATCATCATGTCCACCCACCACATGGATGAGGCTGACCTCCTCGGCGATCGCATTGCCATCATTTCCCAGGGAAGGCTCTACTGCTCCGGAACCCCACTCTTCCTCAAGAACTGCTTTGGCACAGGCTTCTACTTGACCTTGGTTCGCAAGATGAAAAACATCCAGAGCCAAAGAGGTGGCTGTGAGGTACGTGTCTGCCCAGGGAAGGGGCCTGGGCGACTTGGTGAGAAGGGACAGGCAGTGTGGGGCTGCCCTTCTAGATACCTCTACCCACTGGACCTTTTGATCAGAATCAGCTTGTTTCTGGGACTATTTGCAGATTTCGGTAATCGCATTCTAACCTACCCTGTAGAGATGCCCCCCAACACACTCAGATACAACTACTTTAAAATAACCCGAAAGCAGTACACATCAGTGTCCCAAACTATACACGTGGCATGGTGCCCTTCGAGGTTAGTTTTGTTTAAGGGTCTCTCCTTCATTCCAACATCCATGTTCCCTAATTAAGCCTGAATTCCAGTAGTAAACGGAATCTGAGGAGAGGCATCTTTGGGAACTATAATCTGAAAATGATACGGGAGTGGGGAAGCCAGCAGAGACCACCGAGCATGTCCCTGGAACTGGCAAACCCATGGTGCCAGCCTGAGCAAGTGATTTTTATTCTTTACTGTTATCTTTCCTTACGTGGAAAAAGAAGCTGATGATGCCGGCTTCTGCCCTGTAGGGATGTCGTGGGGACAAATGAGATAAAGTGTTGTGAATGTTGCCGGGCTCCTTGAAAACAGGTGTCCCTCGTATTCAGATTGTTCTTCTGTAACGTCATTTACACCTCCAGTGTGAAGGGCTGTAGTGGGTTTTCCTGTCCTGCATAGATTTTCACAACCGGTGTCCGCAGGGCTTGGGAGGGGAGCGGAATGTCTCTCTAGCTGCCACATGATGAATGACCAGCCAAAGGGATGCTTTGAGGTTCCGCCTCTCTCTCTGCCTGACTCACATTCCCTCTGGGATAAAACTCAAGCCACTACACCCTCAAAATGCTCAGATGAATTAATAGATTAAACAGTGAAGAAGAAAAAAATGTTGGCCCCAGTTGGTGATGAGAGGCAAAGAGAGCAGTGGTGACAGCAGCCGGCACCGCGAAGATGCTATCGTTGAAAGGATGCGCGTCTTATCAGTCACTTCTGTCCGTCTGTTGTAGGGGGCCTGCATCTGTACATCAAAGGCCTTCTCCACCAGGTGTCCAGCCCGGGCTGATGAGATAACCGAGGAACAAGTCTTGGATGGTAAGAGCTGGCCAGGTTGAACATCAGTTCTGGTTCAGTGACCATCTGCCGCGTGGTCGGGTGTGCTCTGTTGTGATGCACTCGAGCAAAGAGAACACTCGGTGTACCTCGGAGCCCAAAGTCATGCAATTGCTCGTCTTTTTCCTTGAGCCCGCTGCTCCTCCTAGCGCAATTTTAAAGTCGTGCGCCCAAGAGACCTCTCTTTAATAAGGAATCCAATCTTTGTTCACCCCCACCCCTACTCATACTACGCTTTGGTCCTTAGAGTCCCCCTGCCCTGTAACCGAGTGTGGACGCATCTACTCCTTAAAGTGTGCCAAGGTACCCTCTGGTTCTCTCTGTGTAATATTTATTATTTTTATGTGTATGACTGCCTGCATGGGTGAAAGTGAACCATGTATGGGCAGTGCCTGCCGAAGCCAGAAGAGGGCATTGGATCTGAAACTAGAGTGACAGACAGCTGTGAGCCAGCAGGTGGGTGCCAGGAACTGAACCCAGGGCCCGTCAGAGCCATGAGTGCTCTTAATATGCCCAGCCATCTCTCAATCCCTGCATGTCTCTTACAGGGAGATTTTGGAGAATCTGAGCTTGTCGGTGGAGAGGATGCATGACATCTTTGTGCAATGCACACATTTCCCAGTGCTAACCAAGTTCTCAGTGAGCCTCCCTTTAATTTAAGGGTATACTATCTCTCAGAGGCCTCTCCCTGTCACCAGAGATGCAGTAAATAAGCTCACTGTACATGCAACTGTTCACCCATCAGATTCAAGCTCAGGATCCCAAGAGCTTGCTAGAACCCTTTCCATTCTCAATACTGCCCATCTCCGGGCCTCTCATGAGGGTGACTTTGCAAGTAGAATGCCACATCCACTAAGATCCTATGTCAAAGCAAAAATAAACTTAGGTACTGACCCTGCTTTCTGAACAGAGGAAAGTGTGTGCTTATCAAAGACAAAGTTTCCTATTTAACTCCACCACCCCCCACCTCCGGCCCAAACCTGAAGAATCTACTAAGTGAAATTTGGTGGAACATTGATGTGCTATGCTTAAAACCTGGTGGGGTCGGTGTGGGGGTGTGGAGGAAGCCAGATGCATTCGCTCGAGCCTTCAATGCCAGCCGAGGCAGATGTAGGCAGATCTCTGTGTGTTCTAGGCCAGCCTGATCTAAATAGGGAGTTTAGGCCATCCTGGATGACAGAGTGAGACCCTGTCTCACATAACAACCACCTGAGAGGAAATTCTTGGAGTCGCATCACCAGTATTGACTCCCCCTGCCGGCAGAATTGGTGCTGAGCAGAAAGCATGTCTTCGGAACTGTCTCTGGGTCTCATGCTTTGCTCATCTCGCTGTGGGCGTCTCTGGTGTTGCTGAAAACTTCTCCTTGGAATCTTGGTCAAGACATTGATATTTTCTTTAAACATATCAACACTGATGTGTTTCACCGTATAGTCCATGAAGATGGAGTTGGAATGTGTCTGTGGCCGGCATGATTTTTAAAGTATGGCTTTATTTCTAGGAAAAGACTTCCTTGGTGTAGCATGGGCGTGTTGAGATGGTAGTTAAGTATGATAGGCGGTGATGCCCCCCATTAGGGAGGAGAGATCCCTTAGTCCCCAGTTCCCCCCTTGGCTGGCTTTTCACACACACACACACACACACACACACACACACACACACACATACACACACACCCCTCCACCCAGATGGACCCTCCTGAGAGGTTGACACACATCTAAGACAGAATCCCTGGGAATCCAGTGACTGTGTCTCACTTCCTTCCTCAGAGAACAATGAGTGTGACCTCCACGAGCCACCGGGGCAGAGCTGTTTCCTCTAGTAAAGAACTCCCCGGTCCCAGTATGAGATCATCCAGGACTGAAGACAATCACACAGTGTGCAGGTGTGACACACACGCCTCTCGTTCTAGCTCAGCACGGGGTCTTCATGGGGAGCTACGAAATATGCCAACCACGTCGTTTTTGAAAGAAGGCGAGACTCTCCTAGGCGATGCCGACCCTTTAAGAGAACTGGCCTGAACATTAATGCTCACTGGGATTAGAGCATCTCGTACATATAATCCCAGCACTCAGGAGGCTACTGCAGGATTGTGAGTGCAAGGCCAGTCTGAACCAGTCTGAATTACAAAGCAAGACTTTTTTTTAAGTTTGGCTTTCAATTCCAATGTAATACATGCTTGTCCATAAAATCCAGTTCTGGCTGTTCAAAGTTATCACGCTACCATGCTTCCCACCCACTCCCCATGCCATCCTCCTCCTCTCTAGGGCCCATCAACCTCCTGCCGTCGCTGGTTAATGAACTTTGTTCTGTTTGCGAGGACAGGTACAACCCCAGGGAAAATGGTGTGGCTCTCTAAGAAGTAAACAGGCAATTTAGGAAGGGGGCTAGTCTCCTCTCTAGCGTCTTGGATAAGTCACCTACAGCTTGTTTGGGCCAGAGCAGGAAGAAGAAACCAACTCTGACTTAACCCCTAAGTTCCCAATGAATGAGGATAAGCAACAAAGCTGATGAACGTTCTTCCCTGGGCTGATGTTCAGGAATGCAACGGCAGCTAAGTGCCAGCTTCGCTAAGTGCCACCTTTGCACCAGGCACCACTCCAAGCACTGGGGTTACGTTAACTCCCCCCCCCACACAAACAGTCGTGAAGTGGGCACAGTCATTTCCCCCTTTCACAGATGAGGAACTCGGGAAGGACTCGCGCAGCATAGCATTCCTTGAGGCCATACACGTTTGACTGGACAATGGAAGAAATGCCCTCCGTCAGGTTGCACAGCTAGCCACCTGGAGAACTCTTGTCCTAGAGTCAACTAAGCTAAAAATAGACTTGCTGAGCTTCAAGTCTACAAGAAATGATGTGACGCCAGGAGCCAAGAGTGTGGTTCATGCCTCTAATCCCAGCACTCAGGAAGGCCAGCCAGTACCACACCAATATACAGGCTAAGCTGGGCTTCAGGGAGAAACCCCGTCTCAGCAAACACACACACACACACCACCACCACCACCACCACCACCACCACCACCAAAGGTGCATACAGATTGGTTTTTCAAGACAGGGTTGCTCTGTGCAGCCCAGGCTGTCCTCGAACTCACAGAGATCTGTCTGCCTCTGCCTCCCGAGTGCTGTTAAAGGTGTGTGCCACTGTCACTCGGATAACGATGGTATCTTTATAAACACCTCTATTCCATCACTTGAGGATAGAAAGAGCAGGATCAGGAGTTCAAGATCAGGTTTAATTATATAAAGGGTTTGAGGCCAGCCTGGGCTACATGAGACCCTGTTTCAACACACACATGCACGAGAGAGAAGTGGGGAAGGGGAAGAAGAGAGGCAGGGGGGTGGAATCGACTAGGAGGCCCAGGCAACCTCACAGCCTTCCAGGGTGTAGAACAGGCTGAGTAGCATTGGTAGCAACCCTTTTTCTTGTCTTAGGGAATGTGAAGGAGCTGATGGATTTGGTGTACCACCATGTTCCAGAGGCAAAGCTGGTGGAATGCATCGGTCAGGAACTTATCTTCCTCCTTCCAAACAAGAATTTCAAGCAGAGAGCGTATGCCAGCCTTTTCCGGGAGCTGGAGGAGACGCTGACTGACCTGGGGCTCAGCAGCTTTGGAATTTCAGACACTCCCCTGGAAGAGGTAAGGCAGAGGTTGCAGCTGGTCTCTGTCTAGAGCCAGAAGAGGCGGCTCTTGCAAAAATCTAACATGAAAGCAAAGTCTTACAAAAGCAAAGGGCCGATATTCCCCCACCCAGTGCCAGCGGCTCTCTCCGTCTTTAGCTGGCTTCCTCCTGCCTCGGTCCACATGCATACATACTTTCTGCAGCTGTGGTCCCCGTGTACTCACACCTTTTCATTTATAGACTATGTTCTTAGATAGTTAGAATGCATTTCTTCCCATGGTGAATAGTGCCCGACAAAATGGAACTAGGTTTAGATTTTCCCGGAAGTAGGAATGCCTGAATCAAATTCTCTCTTCGTGTCTCAACAGATTTTTCTGAAGGTCACGGAGGACTCTGATTCCGGCTCTATGTTTGCAGGTATGGTGCTGGACCCTGTGGCCTGTCCTGTGTTTCTCCAGATTTGATCTTGAAACATCTACAGGGAAAGGAACAAAGCAGCCATCCACTCCTTCCTAGTGCCAGAGCCCCAAGTAACGCACTTTGTGTCTTCATGGCAGCGGGGTGACAGGAAACCGAATTTGGCTGGGTGGGGACATTCTGGATGAATCCAGATTCTTATCAATGTCTGTGGGTAGATTTCCTCCCCAAACTTCACCTCCTACACCTCTGCTCTCTTTTTTCTTCCCTATCACCATCTCCTCTCTTCTCTACCAGGCTTTTGGTCCGTTCTTGCCTGCATGAGTGATAGCTAGCAGAGAGTCCTTAGAGATAATGATGACAGTTAATATAACCCAGATGCCAGCCACAGTCTCCCGGCCCCTTTGAGATCAAGATAAAAACACTCTTAAACTCTCAGGTAGAAACCTATGGACTTTGAAATGGTGGGGATTGAAATTCCTGTGGAATCTGGCCTTCTCTCTTCTGTATGTGTTAGCCTGGGTCCTTCGCTTAGTTCCTCACAGCCACACAAAGCATTAGGAGTGTTGTATACTTCCTGCAGAGGGAACAGAAGTATCAGAAAGGTAACGTCTCCATAACACAAATCACTTCTGATAGAGCAAGAGGCATGTTCCCACTCTGCTGAAATAGACCCAACGGGCCCTCTCTCCTGCACAGGGGCAAAGATGGGCAGTGGTTCTCTCTTGCTGTCTTGGGCCACTGGTCCCCTCCTCCTACCCAGTGTGGCACATTGTAATGTCTTCCTATGCAATGTTTCCTTCCTACAGAATTTCTGCTACTGCTCCCACCTTCTAAGATATAATGTGTGTCCCATCCAGCTTCTAAGTCACCAAGCATGGATCAGCCATGCCTAGATTTACCAATGGCCATATTACCAGCCTGTATGCATTCCAGCTTACCCATATAGGTCAGGTGGCAGACTGTTGAGGTGGTCAACCTTGCAGAGGGGGAAGGGATGAGTCCTCTGTGGGAGGTAGGAGCAGCTCACCATGGGGCCCAGGTTCTCTTTAAGTTCGTTGCAGAAAGCAATTGAATTCTCTCAGTTCTTTCAAAGCCAAAGATTCACATTAACCAAGACAAGAATGAAAATAATTTAAAGTATACCACAACTTGTGCTAGATTTAAAACTTAGGGACTTTTACCTGGACAAAATGCTCCTTTTTTAATAGTTAGCCTGTCAGAATAATAAAGTCAGATGTTGAAGATTGGTCGGCATGGCCATAGAGGTGGGTATTTCAGAATCAGTAGACAGTAGGTGTTCAGAGTTTAGCCATAGAGCGCAGTAGACAAACATCAAACCCTAGCTCCATCATTTGATACCTAAATGGCTTTGAGCAAGGTACTTAGCCTCTTCATACCTCAGTTTCCCCATGAGGAAAAGGAGAATAATAATAGCATATACTTTTTAAAATCATTGAGAGAATTCCATAAATACATGCCAAGTTTTTATGAGCATGTAATCTGTGATCAAGATTTGACAAGACCCTCATGGTAACACTTACAAATCCTCTCACTTCAAACTTGCATGGTTCTTTACACTTGACAAAGCACCTGATACCATTGTGTTACTTGACATCACGATAATCTCATGAGGCGGATAGATAGGACAGAGACCTGGGAAACTCGAGTTCACTGAGGCTGGATGAGGTGCCTAAAGCCACACAGACTGATGAATCTTATTCTCCGAACTTTGAGCTTTCAGTCCACATTCTCATCACCCCCCACAGTACTGGTGGCTAAGTACAGACGGGTTAGAGTGAGACCTTGCCCAACAACTACAGAAAGATTGTTAGTCTCCATGCCCGATGGTTCTCCAAATGAAGAGTAACTGATGTTGTAAGGAAAATGTATATCATAATCTCTTATGTTTGCACTTTTCAAATTATTGATCCAATATCCCTTAGGTGGCACGCAGCAGAATAGAGAGCATGTCAGTCTCCGGCACCCTTGTTCTGCTCCCACCGAGAAGGTCAGGCAGCCCGCCCAGGGCTCCCACACCTGCTCCGTAGGACAAGTGGATCCTTCCAAGGGCCAACCTTCCCCAGAGCCAGAGGAACCCAGCGCCCCGTTCAACACAGGCGCTAGGCTGATTCTTCAACACGTGCAGGCGCTGCTGGTCAAGCGATTTCACCATGCTGTCCGCAGCCACAAGGACTTTCTGGCTCAGGTACCACTGTGGCCAGCCTGGGCTTGACTCGTTTCTCCCCCTCGGGTCTAGGGTCTGTCTTCTCAGGAGCATCTGTGCGGATGAGCTCAACCTCTACCCAGAACACTTTGGTTCCCATCACCTCTACCTCCTCCTTGTCAAACCTTTATTTTGATTGTGGGTTTTGCAAATCTTCTTGGAAGGCTTGGGCCTCATTTAGAGTAAAAAAATAAGATAGTCAATATTGTTTCTATTTTCATAATGAAAGGTAAAGTTATATGTTTAATTCATTTTTCTAATGACCCAAAGATCAAGGCCATTGTCCTATTTTGAGACAGGGTATCATGTCCTCCAGGCTGGCTTCAAACTTGATGTATAGCTAAGAATGACCTGGAACTTCTGGTCCTCCTACCTCTACCTCCTGAGTGTTGGGATTGAAGGCATGTGCCATTAAACTCAATACTATACAATGCTACAGATTGAACTCAGGGCTTCCTGCATGCTGGGCAAACACTCTACACCATCTCGGCCATATGCACAGCCCTATTTCTACGTCTTTCATTTAAAAAAATGTAAGTTGAGCCGGGTGGTGGTGGCACACACCTTTAATCCCAGCACTTGGGAGGCAGAGCCAGGTGGGTCTTTGTGAGTTCGAGGCCAGCCTGGTCTATAGAGCGAGATCCAGGAAAGGCGCAAAGCTACACAGAGAAACCCTGTCTCGAAAAGCCAAAAAACAAAACAAAAACAAAAATCAAAAAAAATGTAAGTTGTTCTTTAAACTTCCCTTGAGGCTCTGGCTGAGCATGGCATACACTCAGATTCTTAATGACTGCTGGAACATTCCGTTTCTTTCTACATGTATTGCCTTTTACACTTGCCTATAATGTTCCCCTAGATGCCTGCCCTTCCCAACCAGCATCTGAATATGAAGTGGAAGACAAATGCTTAAGAGAGTGTGTGTGCTGCACGTGTGCATGGTATGGGCACACACGTGTGCAGTGAGTGCCTTCCTGTGCATGTGTGTATCATCTCTCACACTTCAGCCCGTGTCTCCATGGATGTTCTCTTACAGATTGTTCTCCCTGCCACTTTTGTGTTTTTGGCTCTGATGCTTTCCATCATTGTGCCTCCGTTTGGTGAATTTCCAGCTTTAACCCTTCACCCCTGGATGTACGGACATCAATATACCTTCTTCAGGTGTGTGGACTCATCCCCGGGGCACACCAGTATCCTCTGACATGTGATGTTCCTGGACCACATGCTTGCTAGAAGGGTCTTGACCTCCCCACCTCCCTGGAATCGTCACCAAGGTAGAAGGAGTCCTGGGATTGTTCTTAGAAGGGAAGCTAACAGAGCAGTCAGTGCTTAGCAGTGTGGTACCCAGTGGAAGGCCCATAGGGAAAGAGGATATGAAGCTTGGGAAAGGGGGTTGAAGCTCCATCTTTTTGAGGCATAGATGATGGACCATCAGACTTCTAGGTGTGTATGGTAGGCTACCCCACTTCCAGGAGCCCCACAACCATTCTAAGTGAGGGTTCAATGCCTCACGTACACACGTGGCATGGAATTCAGTAAACACTTATATCCGCGTTAGTGGCCATTATCCATTCTGTCCCAGTCCGACTACCAGGTGAGCATCCCTCTCTCTCTTCCTAGCATGGATGAGCCCAGCAATGAACACCTCGCGGTGCTGGCAGATGTCCTCCTGAACAAGCCAGGCTTTGGCAACCGTTGTCTGAAGAAAGAGTGGCTTCCGTAAGTCCTGCCCTAACACAAACAGCTCCCCTAGGGGACCCCAAAGCCAGCCTGGGAGTATTGAGAAAGACCCCTCAGTCCTGCCCTATATTATATGGGTCACATCCATGTCTCTAACCAGCACTTACTTACCCAGCTTCTTCTTTAAGCAGAACTTACATCCTAGGAAGCCCCCATCATCAACAGCTCTGTGTCTCAATATAGAAATTTTCTATGTTCTGTATTTCTGAATGAAATGAGATGAAGATATTCAATTATACAACTGAAACTCGAATGACATGAATTATTTCTGTGGCCTGCTCTCACTCATTGTTGTCACTCTAGAAAAGAGAGGCGTAGAAGATAGTTGAAATCCACCAGGAACCTTTATAGTTCAGTGTAGTGACAGCATCCTCTCTCAGCTAATCTTCTCCAAAGCTATTGCTAATGAGCAAAATGGACACATTTCAGATGCTTCTATTATTTCTTCCATCTCTCAACAAGCAAGAGCTGCTAGACAGAAACAAAGCAAAAAAATGAAAAACCAAAACAAACAAACAAAAGCCCAGAGAGTCCGCCAACTAGGCGGTTATTCCCTAGGCTACACTCTGTCAGGAGCAGGACCCCAGGTTTGATGTTCCTCAAGCGGACTCTAGTCCCCAGGAGGGAAATTCCTGGCTCCAAGGCAGAGAGGAGCAGAGGAGGAGCCGGCCAGCAATGATTCCTCTTTTTTAGGGATTTAAAACAAAATCAGCAGTGGGATTGACTGTGGAATATTTTCTCATTTTTCCATGAGGGAGTACCCCTGTGGCAATTCAACCCCTTGGAAGACACCTTCTGTGTCCCCGAACGTCACCCACCTGCTGCAGAAGCAGAAATGGACAGCGGCCGATCCTTCTCCATCCTGCATGTGCAGCACCAGAGAGAAGCTCACCATGCTGCCCGAGTGCCCTGAGGGTGCCGGAGGGCTCCCGCCTCCACAGGTACCCGCGTCACTTCTAACAAGTGCACACTAGCCCTGGGTTTTGATTGATTTTAAATTATTTCCCATGGAGCCGGGTTCACACCTTTAATCCCAGCACTCGGGAGGCAGAGGCAGGTGGATCTCTGTGAGTTCGAGGCCAGCCTGGGCTACAGAGTGAGATCCAGGACAGGTTCCAAAGCTACAGAGGAACCCTGTCTCAAAAAAAACAAAACAAAAAACAAACAAACAAAAAAAAACTATTTCCCATGGTTGATCATTTAGATTTAAAATGTTTTTCTCTATTCTAAATAATGCTGTGATGGACATTCAAGTGTTACTATGTTTACATATTGATTAACGGTTTTATTTAAGCTTACTACGGGGGCAGGAGGTGGAGCTCAGTGGTAGACTGTCGAGCGTGATGTAAGGCCCTGGGTCTGATATTCATTGTAAGGAAGGAAGAAGGGGGTGGGGATGACCCATGTTCCTATGTACTGTGCATTTAACATACATGTATGTACACGGCCTACAACTTATCTTTTGCAAGAGCGGCGTAGATTGTACTTCGAGCAGTGTCTTGTCTAGAGCTGTGTGCTCTATATCACAGCAAGCCCTCCTGGAGGTTTCAGGGAGTGCCTTCAAGGACAGGGGAGCCCCACCTTTTCTCTGGTTAGTGACAGCCTCCCAGGTGACATGGATGGTCTCTCATTATGTCTCAATGAATGGATGATTCCCAAAGAGTCAGGGCAGTGCAGGGGTTCAGAGGTGGGAGTCAGGAAGCGTAGTTTGGTTTCTTGGCCTCTGAGCTGTAGCTAGAGTTTTCCTGCCTGGCCCACAGTCAGGACAAATCTTTGTCACCTGCCAGTCCCACAGCCGCTCAGACCCAACCAAGTAAACACAGAGACTTATATTGTACTTATATGGCCATGGCAGGCTTTTTGCTAACTGTTCTTATAGCTTAAATTAATTTATTTCTATAAGTCTATACCTTGCCACGTGGCTGGTGGCTTACCGGCGTCTTCACATGCTGCTTGTCATGGCGGCGTCTGGCAGCGACTCCTTCCGCCTTCCTGTTCTCTCAATTCTCCTCTCTGTTAGTCCCGCCTATACTTCCTGCCTAGCCACTGGCCAATCAGTGTTTTATTTATTGACCAATCAGAGTAATTTGACATACAGACCATCCTACAGCACTGAGCCTTCCTCATTTTCTCTCCTGGAGGGTGAGGGGAACTGCATACACTTAGTTCATAGCATTATGAGGATTCAGAGAAATAGTGTGGGCAATAAACTATTTAGGGTTAGAGTCAGCTCAAGTAATGGCAACCCTAACCTAACAGCGGCTGAGACGAGATACAGCTTGCTTCTCGCGGGCAAAAGTTAACACGGGCGGACTATGATGTTCTTGTCTGTTGTTCTCTGACTGGCACAGGCCTCCGACTCTCCAGCCAGAGTGGTGGAAAGCATTTTGTTAGGCAGTGGAGTAGAAAGAGCGAAGAAAAAGATACAGCAAATGTTTTAAGTGTGTACAAGGAAGACTTCTAGAAGCTACTGCATAGCCCTCCCACTGAAGGGTCGCTGGACGGGACCCAGCATCGGGAGAGACCAGTGACTGCCACTTTAAGTGTGCACAGCCTGTGCCCATGGGAAAAGTCATAACAAGAGCACCAGGAAGAAGACATAATGGGACAACTATTGCTATTACAATGGGATTGCTATCACATCTATCACGGCTGCTGGCTCATAACTGGTCCTGTGCCAATCTTTTTCTTTTTTTCTTTTCTTTTCTTTTTAATTCTAAGGCATATGCCTTTATGTTTCCCAAGCAATATATTCTCTCCTTGGGTGACTTCTAAACTGCTACATTGCAGTTATCCCTGACTGCCTAGGATTTGGGCTGGGAGAAAAAAAAGTCAAGCCTTGCTACACAGGAGTTTATTTCCTAAATGAGTGATAGGCTGCCTGTCTAACTTAGAAACTTCAGTGTAGCATTGGTCCTTGGTCCTTAGAGTGAAGTTCAGTGTCTTAGAAGAGTCGCAGCTGGTCTGCAGCTGTATCTTACCCCTGAGTCTCCTCATTAACACTCATATCTCCTTGGGAGCAGAACTGAATGTCACACACCTATGTAACCACCCCTTCTCACACACACAAGTACATGCATTTACATTCACTCCCCCCCCCCCACTTAGCACCTTCCCATTCATCCAGAAATAAGAGCAGAAGGAGGGCCCTGGTTCAGAGGTGGCGAATGGAATGTAGGGTAGCAGTATCCTGTAGTCATGGCAGCAGATGCTGTGATCTGTAGCATCCCTTCCGGCTCTAACAATCCTTCAATAGTGGTGGGTCTTCATATGGATGCGTCCCACCTCTGACGTCATCTCTACACAGAGATAAAATGTAGGAACGTTGTAGTTGACAAAAGTTTTAGAAAACGTTTGTCACAACCTGCCTCACACACCAGGATTGTCCCTGCCTCCTACCAGGGTTGTCTGGTTAGGTACTGTGGTCAATTGAGGAACAGGTAATAGACAGCAGGAGAGTCAGACGCAGGTGATCTTAGGCCAACCGCACGCAAGCTAGCCAACTTCTCTTAACCTCCCTTTATCGGTAAAGCTCTCACTTGTGAGAGCAACCGGGGTGGGATCGCATACACAGAGCATTTACCACAGTCCCAGTCACACAGCATTCAGGGGCTGCTACTTCACCTGCAGAGAAGGAATCTGAGGAAGAAGGTGAACTAAAGGAAAGATCAAATGGGGAAAGGGAAGGATCTGGAAAACAAATGCATTTTGGTGGTGGTTTAATGCCACCTTGAATCCTGTCAGCCAATTCTGAGTGGCAATCTAGACCGAGTGGACGCTTTTGCCCAAGGTTCCTGACTGACCTATGACATTGACTAATCCAAGAAACTCAACATTGGGTGATACTGCCACCTGGTGGCCAAAATCGAGCACTGTGGAATTCCTCCAAATGTCTTGTTTACCTTCCACTCCTGGATATGTTTTGAAAGTGATTTGTAAAATATACAGTGCTATTCAAATGATTTCATTTGCATTCCAAATATATTGCCCGATATCTGGGTACTGGGGACGTGAAAGCCAAAAAGTCAGAGAAGGCCTCCGTTTCCACAGAGATGACAGTGTGCACGGGACAGGGTAGAGGCAGTGAGCAGATAGATTCAGGCAAAGGCGTGTTTCATGTCAGATGAGCACTGTGAGGGTACATGAGGTGACTGACAGACGCTTTCTGTCTTTAAAACTCAATCTGACAATGGGTGGAGAGCAGAATGTGGAGTCATGGAAACAGTGCGGAGGTTTCTGAAGAGGTGTAGGCAAGGACTAGGTGGTGTCTTAAACTGGGGTGACCAGATCAGAGTGGGGGAGACAGGTATGCTGGAGACTGACTTTGCAGTTAAGCTCTCTGTCACTGGATGGCGTGAGAAAAAGGAGGGAGGAATCAGCAATGGCTCCACATCACTGATGTAGGAACTGAAAAGATGTCAGGGTCGTGGTGAGTGTTTCCCAGCATCTGAGTCCGTAATAAACTTTGAGAGGAACAGCAGTTTCACAGACTCTAATGTCTCAGCCCCCAAATCTTGACGGTGTCTCTTCGCCCCAGAGGACACAGCGCAGCACTGAAGTCCTGCAAGACCTCACAAACAGGAACATCTCCGACTACTTGGTAAAGACGTATCCTGCGCTCATCCGCAGCAGGTAGGCGACCCTGTCACACTTTAATCCTGGCTGCCTGGTGACGATATCAACCACGGCAGAAAGTCAGTTTCCTGCTGTGAACCCGTGAGGGCGGCCGCAGAATGTGAGGGCCACATCTAGCAGAAGTAACTGGGGTATATGAACCCCGGGGGCAACTGGGGGTTCATTTTCTTTTGCTTGGTCGTCCATGTCTAAGAAAAGCAGTCAAAGTTTACCCCAGGCACTGTTGCAAGTGTCACGAAAATGTGTTCAGTAATGAAGCCTTACCTCTTACGGAGTTAAGGAAGAGAGGCCAGGTTTGTAGGGAGTGGGGAGAAAGGGGGCGCAGCTGAGGAGTAGAAGGAGAGGGAGAATGAAAGAGAAAAAAAAAGGAGACTGAAGGGGAAAGGCAGGGGACAGCATCTGGGTACCACCCCAGGTCAGGCACTGGCTGGGGACAACTGTCGTCACACTCATTATCACCTGCCACCGCCACCCTTGAACACATCCACAGACACTTGAATATCTAGAGCTCTCAGCTCTGTGGCTGTCCTTATCAAGCCCGGCTTGGGATGGAAGGCCTGCGGCAGCCCCTGTCAGCTTGACAAAAGCCTCCTACCAGAAAGATCCTTAAGGAGGTGTGATCCAGTCTCCATGGGCTCTATGGCTTTCGAACGAAGCATCCTGTCTAATTTTAACAGTCCTGACAGTTGCCTTCCGTAGCAGAGCCCAAGTGAGTAACACATGGACCTAAAGGGCTGGAATTCACTGCAGACGGGGAGACAGCGGCTGGGAGGGCAGGGTCAAGCTAGCCGTGAGAAAAAGAGCACCGTCCGATCCAAAACCAAAAGCAGAGGGTGAGCTTGCTCATTAATTCAATAAACAAAGCGCTCTAAACCTGGCTCAATAGCCAATTTGCATTATGGACTTTTTGATTTTTACTGGATGGTTGATGATAATGACGTTTCGGGGCCAGCTGGAACTCTAGGGACTAGAACTTCCTCATCAAGTTATCTTACCCCCAAACGCCCACAAGTCAGTGCCTTAACTGAATGGGGAGCCGTAAGTCAGAACTCGTCCCAAGGATGCAGTTGGTTATTAGAATCTCTTATATTCTATAAAAGAAAGAGAGCTTCAAGCTTCACTCCACACTGGCACTGATTGTTGCCATGGTTTCTAGGTCTAGACTGGGTTCACTGGTCCAGCATGAGGCCGGTCTAAAGGGCTAGGCAGACAGTCCAGTGTGCAGGAGGCCATTGGGAGAGCCGGGTTTGGAACATGGTAGTCCTTTGTCTGTGTATAGATTCACCTGGGTCTTGAGGCAGGCCAGCTGCCACACTACATTGCTTAGATGTCAGAAAATGTAAGAACCTCCCTAGGACTGCGACACCCCAACAACTAGAAAGAAAAGCTAACACGATTGCTATCCTTATGGTATTTATTACATGCTTTTATTTTGGCTTCCAGCTTAAAGAGCAAATTCTGGGTCAATGAACAAAGGTAAGAAACTATTTGGGGGGGGCGATTGAAATAGTTAATTTATAGATGTGACTGCTAGATCATTAAATTGGTTGCTGCTGGGGGAAAAGATAATATGATTTCACGTACTATGCAGCAGTCTCACTATTTTTTTTTTTTAGCATTAAACGAGTTAGGGCAGTACTGGCTGAGCCTGGGCGATAAGAGGGAACCTAGGAAATTCAATTCAGTAGGTGGCACTCTTTCCTCAGGGTCAATCTTACAGTGATGACCTGAGAAGCTTCCAAAACACAGTGTCATAGGAAGTCCTGCCTCTCAAGTGAAGCAGATGCCAAACACTGAGTCCGCCGGACATGGGGGTATATTGTAAATCTCTATCATCCCGGACTCTTGTTTTTTTAAAAAAAAAAGAAAAAATGGTGCATGAGTGGGGGTGGGGCATCGTTTCTCTCAAAGACTGCTTCTGGCTGAATAGTGGGCATTGGTTGGCTCTTGGGGGAAATGGGGAGGGTAGCTTGTGAAGTCCTGGGATGATGGTGGGGGTCCTGGAATGAAGTTCTGTCATCCCCTTGTTCTGCAGCTGTCCATCCTTCATGGTATGGCTAGGAACCTTTTGTCTGACAAGATGCTGGTAACATAGAAAAAGCTTAGAGAAAAAAGAATCATTATTATTTTATTTTTGGAGTTGACATTTATCTCAGGTAGATCTGGCCTGCCCAGATGGAGACATGTGACATTTATCTCAGGTAGATCTGGCCTGCCCAGATGGAGACATGTGACATTTATCTGAGGTAGATCTGGCCTTAGTACTCTGCTTAATGTTTACCTGAGACAAGCCTTATTAGAGGTAGTTTATTTAAGGCACCTGTTTCCTTTATTAGTTTAGCATTTAGGAAACGCAGGTGGTAAGTTACTGAGTATTGTCCTGGAACTTACTTTTTAGACTAGGCTGGTCTTGAACTCACAGAGATCCCCCTGCCTCTGCCTCTCAAGTGCTGGGATTAAAGACATGTTCCACCATGCCTGGAAAGACACTATTTTTATGATGAATTAGAATCTTAGATTGTAAGTGTAGATGTTCCCTGGCTTGTTCCATTTAAGTTTCATGGGAATTGACCCAGCTCCAGCATCCACCCTGTTCTTAGGGCATCCTGGAGGTTGTCTAAGCTACTCAGGTATTTTGGTGTATGTTTGGTTCAAAACACGCAAATCTGAAGATATCACAGCATCTGACTTCGGACTTCAGAGTCTATATACTGGTTCAAAGATATGTATATACATATACACACATGCGTGTAATGATTAATGAAAAAAGAGGCCATGGATTTGAGAAAAAGGAGGGCATATGGGAGGTTTTAGAGGGAGGAAAGGGAAGAAGAAAATAGTGTAATTATAGTATAATCTCAAAAATAAAAGAAATTAAAATATAGACACATAGGCCAATGGAGTCAAATAGAGGACTCACACATAAACCCACACAGTTGCAGCCATCTGGTCCTTGACAAAACGCTCCTCTCTGTAATAGGTGGTGCTGGAGTAACTAGTCATCCACATGTAGACAGCTGAAACTAGATTCCCCTTCTTACTCTGTACAACATTGATTCAAAACAGATCAGAGATCTTAAGGGAAGTCCTGAAACTTTGTACCTACTAAAGGGAAACTACTTCAAGATATAAGCACAGGTGCAGGGCTGCTGCCAGCTCAGGAAATAAGAGCAGAGTGAAGGCTTCAGTAAACAAGGAAAGCAGTCACCAAAGGAAAGAGGGAGCCTCCAGAGTGGAAGAAAATCTTTACCAGCTATTCATTCAACCAAAGACTAATATCCACAATACATAAAGAACTCATAAAGTTAAATACCAAAAGAACAAATCAATTAATAAGTGAATAAACAAAGTCAACAGATCTTTCTTAAAAGAAATACAAGTGGCCAGTAACTACATGAAGGACACTCAGCATCTTTAGCTACCAGGGAGACACAAATCAAAAGTACACTGAAATTCCATCTCTCCCCATCAGAATGACTGTCACAAGGGAGATAGATGACAGCAAGTGCCGTTGAGGATACAGAAGGGAAAGGAACCCTCTGCACTGTATGTGGGCATGGACCCTCAGCCAGTATGGAAATCAGTACTGAGGTTCCTCCAAAAACTGAAAGTCGAGCTATGTTCGGTCTGTACCACTCCTGACATGTTCCCAAAGGAGTGCAAGTTAACACACCACAGAGATGGTGCACATCTACGTTTACTGCAGCATCGTTTACAACAGCCGAGCTAGGGCATCCCCCTAGAGGCCCATCAGAGGAAATGTGATGTGCGGGTTTATATGCGCCATCGAGAAGAATGAAGTCATCCTTCTCAGAAAAAGGCATGAAACCAGAGATCAAAATTAGCCAGATCTAGAAAGACAAATATTTACTTTATCCCATATGTAGAATCTAGGGTGTGGGTTTATTAGCTTTTAAGTCTAGAGATAGAACTATTTGGAGAATAAAGGTTTGTAATGTGGGACAGTGTTGCTCGATAGCCTGGATAATCCCCCCCCCCGTATTCACACCCCCCTACAGAAGCTGAGGTTGCCCTGGTGGGCATGAGTGTCATGGCATTGACAGGGGGCTCTCTTGCTGCCTTGCAGATATGGAGGGATTTCCATCGGAGGGACGCTCCCCACCATCCCCATCACTGGGGATGCACTTGTCGGTTTCTTAAGTGACCTTGGCCAGATGATGAATGTGAGCGGGGTAGGTAAACAGACTGGAGTCTGGGGTCGGATTTTTGACTTGTTTAAATATTAAGAGATAGAAATTATCGTACATACAACAGAAGGAGGGGATACAAGAAGAAACATTTGTTGTTGTTGTTGTTGTTGTTGTTGTTGTTGTTGTTGTTGTTCTATTCTAGGGTCCTGTCACCAGAGAGGCCTCTAAAGAAATGTTAGATTTCCTCAAACATCTTGAAACTAAAGACAACATTAAGGTAACTGACCTGAAGCTAAAAATTCCTGTGACCTCATTATTTGATTGTTTTTACCTTGTTTAATTAAATTCCATTCCCCCTGCTGAAACCAGGGGAGGAATGCCGGCCAAGTTCCTCTTCCTCCTCCTCCTCCTCCTCCTCCTCCTCCTCTTCCTCCTCTTCCTCCTCCTCTGCTCACGGTCATTTTGTTGCTGGTCGCTTTTTGCTTTTTGTTTAAACAGCCCGTTAGTGTCCTCTCTCTGGAGCCTGGGTTGGATGGGTAGCTCAGCCCATCCAGTCAAGCCTCTCTGCCCTCTAGGTATGGTTTAACAACAAGGGCTGGCATGCCCTGGTCAGCTTCCTGAATGTGGCCCACAACGCCATCTTACGGGCCAGTCTGCCTAAGGACAGGGACCCTGAGGAGTATGGCATCACCGTCATCAGCCAGCCCCTGAACCTGACCAAGGAGCAGCTCTCGGAGATCACAGTGTGAGCTGCCACTACCCCAGGCTCTCAGCTTCCTTCCTCCCTTCTTCCCTCTCTGGAAACCAAAGGGAGGTTTTTTTTGTTTTTTGTTTTTTTTTTTTTTTTTTTTAGTGTTGTGAGGTGCAGGGCTGGGTGGTAACTTTAACTGGGCTCATATGAAGGCACCAGCTTCAAGTGCTTCCTGTACCAAAGTGCTTAGCTGTTCTTGCCCCTCTCCGTTTATTTGGAAAGTAAACTAACACTTTACGCTGTTCCTTTAGGGCCCTCGATAACAAGTTCCTCCCGAATTACACCCCTAACCTCCCTGCCAGTACACAAAGAACCTGCCAAGACCTGGAAGGTTCAGGGAGGCTCCTTCATTTCCCTGGAAGAGTTGTAGATTCTGGGAATTTCCCGCAGATAGCCATGCTTTGGAGCTGTTTGCTTTCCTCAAGACTGGGCCCTCATGTCAGCCCCAGGCTGGAAGGACATTGATGGGTCTTGTATATGTGACACTCTTTGCTCTATTTGAGGCCTATAGACAGGAGGACTTAGGAGGTCTGGTTTTGTTTTTTAAGTTTTTCAAGACAGGGTTTCTCTGTGTAGCCCTGGCTCTTCTGGAACTTGCTCTGTAGACCAGGCTGGCCTCGAATTAATAGAGATCCACGTGCCTCTGCCTCCCAAGTGCTGGGATCAAAGGCATGTACCACCACTGCCTGGCTAAGAGAAGCATTTTGTGAGTACAAACTTCTAGGGAAGCTAGCAGAACCTCCTAGCATTCAGTCAGGATTCAGTGTCTACCTACTCCCAAGCCAAATGCCTTCTGCGTGGCCCCAGAGATCAGCTACCATGTTAGGGATAATTAAGAAAAAACAAACAAACATCAGATCAACAGCAAAGAGCAATCAGTGTTGGTGGGGGCAGAGAGACATTAGAATGCTGTACATGTAATTACAGACCACAGAATCAATGGTCACATGTAAACTCACATCCCTTGAGTTTACATGTGACCATTTCCCATGACATGTGATTTCAGAGAACAGAAGTCTGTCTGTGCCTGCAGGAAACTCAAAAGTCTTTAGAAAAATTCAGAGCTAAAAATTTAGAGTTGCTACAAATGTTCATTTATGTATACCATAATAAATAAGTAGAAGTAAAATAAGAGGAAAGGTTGTCTAGAATGTTCTCATGAATCAAAAAAGGCAACCTACAAAAATATCCACTTAACCTCGATGAAGACAATTCTGTGAGGTGATGAGCTTCAAGCGAGGGGTGGGGGTGGATAAGGGCTGCCCGGAGCTTTCTCTGCCCCTTCTCTGGGTTTCTGACGTCCCCTGCCTCCGGTCCTGCTGCAGGTTGACCACCTCGGTGGATGTTGTCCTTGCCATCTGCGTGATTTTCGCCATGTCCTTCGTTCCAGCCAGCTTTGTCCTTTACTTGATTCAGGAGAGGGTGACAAAAGCCAAGCATTTGCAGTTTATCAGCGGTGTGAGCCCCGCCACCTACTGGCTGACCAACTTCCTCTGGGATATTGTGAGTGCCAGGCCGTCCCTCGCCTCCAGGGGCCCAGGGTGGGACTGCTGTATGTCTGGGCAGGAGGGCTGAAGGGGCGATGGTCTCATGACTGCTAGCCCTTGACATCTTCTTAAAAAGGCAGTTGGGAACAAACCCTCGGGAAGACCACAGAACACAGTTAATAGCCACTGAGTAGGGATGCTCTGTGTCCATCACCAAGAGGGCTCTGATCCACCCATATAGAGGATCTCTCTATGCCAGAGATGAGGCTGATCTTTCTGTCGGTAGCATGGGTCTGAGCAGGTAATACCAAAAGGACTCTTCATCCATCATCTTCTCCTTAAGTCCTGTCTCAACCTCCCAAAAGAGGAAGGTAGAACTTCCTTATGATAGGGTCACCATATAAATATAGGCTAACCATCAACTCTGAATCTCAGGACAAACAATGAACAACTCATAGCATAAATATTTAGTATATCCCGCTTCAATTATTGCACGGTATATATTTATACTAAAAGTTATTGGCTGCCTATCAGAAATTCAAATTTAATTGGGCATTCTATATTTTAATTTGCCAAATCTGGGGACACTGCCCAGAACCTTATTTTACTTCTTCAAAGTAGCTAGGGGCTAGTGAGAGGGCTCAGCAGGTAAAGGTGCTTGCCACAGAAGCCTGGTGACCTGAGTTCAATCCCTGGAACCCATGTAAAGGTAGAAAGAGAGAAATGACCCTGGAAAAATGTTCTCTGCCTTCACCATATACGTGGTTAAGGCATGGGCACCCAAACATGTTTTGCACACATACTCACACAATGATTATTTTAAGTGACCAGATCCCCACTGTATTAGATCAGCTACCATGTTAGGGATAATTAAGAAAAAACAAACAAACATCAGATCAACAGCAAA